GAGACTCGACAGAGATGGCATATATTATCTTTAAATCGCATAATTTGATAACTATTATCTCTATGCTCAAAATTTGTTGATAACATAATGGAAATTACCTATATACTTCACAGTATTAAGATGTTATGTCACATTTAGTAAATACCTATTTATGTATGGACGGCAAATGTTGATTAAAAAGTAATATTAGTAGTATTTTTAAATTTCTATTTGCGTCAAAAAAAAGCAGACACCGAGACATAAAAAATATCACGCCTGTGAGGAATATTTGAAATAATAATTATTATATTATCCATTAAGTTCATTTAATTAAAATGAATTAAATTTTATAACCTCCAATCAAATAAGAATATTCTTTGGTATATTCAACCAAGTTTGATTTCTGTTTTGACCTACATTTTTCGAATATTTTTTTTATATTAAAGATTATATAATATACTTGTTTATGATTGGCAAATATATGAGTTTACGGTACATAGACAATAGTAAATGCGATATTAAGTTAAAAACGCATTTGATATTCAATTTCTGATATGCCGTTTCAGCGGAGTTATATAGTTCAGAAACAAATAAAAAATAGGTACCTAACTCAAAAAAAAAAATTACACTTTAGAAAAATCAAAAATGTTCACAAATAAAAAAGTTATACACATAAAAAAACTACTAAAAATAACAAAAACGCAGCATCTTTAAAACAAATCAAAATAACCTACCTAGTTGCAATTTTTGCTGTCCAATGTTTCTCGAAAATAGATCTTTAGGAATCTTTATACATATTGTCTGTACAGGGCGGTCCGAATTTTATGCACAAAACTTCGAGGGCAGATACCTAGACCTCTTTAAAATAATATGTATTTGCCTTTTAAAGAACAATTTGTATCAAAATAATAATAAACATATATTTACCAAGCAACAGCAACTAAACAAGAAACAAAATTAACGTTACGTATTTACAACAATTGTTCAAAATGCGAACCATCCACATCGATATATTTCTGACATCTTCTATTAATGGAACTAATTGAAGCTAATTTCATGTGGTGGTTTTCTTTTAATTCATTGCACCCGTCTTCTATTGGTTGCTGTACTCGTATCTGTTGGAGTAGATTAAACTTTACTTTTCAGATAACCCCTAACATTGAAGTCCAGCGGGTTTAGATATGACAATTTGGCTGGCCAAGACCATAAACATATTAAATTTTAATTTTTTTGCTGAAATACTTTGGACGAGTTCCGAAATAAAAATGAAAAACAACTGTCCACTGTCTATAATTGAGGCTCTTTAAGCAAGTACGTGACTAATCTAAAATTCAAATTACGCGATTTACAATTTAATACACTGAAATATGTATGAGAAAGTTGTAGAAAAAGATGATGTGACTGTATTTATGAAAGTTGAAGGAACTTAGGTATTAGATACTATTAGGCTATTAGGGTGATTTGGCTATAGGTACTTGTTCAACAACAAAGGTAGTTCAATATTATGTACAATATTTAGTTCTTTCTTAATGAGAATTGGAAATCAAATCTCTCTTTTGACAATTAGGTTTTAAGAGAAAAATATGATTAAATAATTTTATCACAGGTTTCAAGTACCCAGTAAATAAAGAAAAAAATTAAAACTATACCGTTGATAAATACCGTATAATGAATTATTATTTTAGTCCAGTCACTGAAGGCGAAAATAAAGTAAAAGCTCCCAATTTTTTCGGATAGCATGGATTTTCCTGAAAATTTGCATACAAGCTCATCTGCCCCCCCCCACTTCAAAAGTTATATTGTCCATATGTGTGCTTTTTTCTATTTGGGGGTGAAAACTACCCTTGTACGAAAAAAATGCGAGACTCGCAGATTTACGTATTTTAAATGTTCAAATATGTTGGATAAAGGTCCTTTCATGTTTTTTAATAGAATTTATGAAATTTAATTACTTTTCAACCCTTAAAAATCCATAAAAACTAACCTTCCATGGCCAAAAAAATAGAAAAAAAAGTTTTTAACAGTTTGAAATATTCTTTTGGTGCATTCACAATGTATTGCATTTCTTTTGTTATTCATTAGAAAGCTTACGACTCATTACAAAGTTGCAACTCTTAAAAACAATCCCTTACAATAAAATAAAATATTATTGAAAGTTTGAGATGTTTTAATTGTATGAATATGTTGAATTATAAATTTTTTATTGGTTTTCAATGATCTATGATATATTGCAACTTTTCAGCCACCCAAAAAACCTTTATAAAAAACCCTACCTCTTATAGAAAAATTTACTAAAAATTATATCTGAGTATGATATAACTAATTTTTTTTTAATTTTATTGAATTTATTCTTAATATTTTTTTATTAAAAATATCAAATAAAAAAAATTATATACATTATAAATGGATACGTGTGTGTATGTATATTATTAAAATACTTACTCAAATCAGTTCACAAGTGCTCCAAAATACACAAAGATGATGGTAATTTATCCGCACCGATAATTTTACCGAATAAATGCGGTTAATTTTTTGCCACAACTTTTGTAATTTTAAAGTTGTAAATTTATCCAAATAACCGTTTTGTATGGAATTTAAAGCACTTTAAGTACTGTGATTTGCAGTTTTTTGGAGCCCTTCGTTTTTTAGATTTGTAAGCTAAAAGGGCTCAGGAAAGGCAGTCTTGAAGCTTAGTTTTGAGCTTCTAACGGTCATAACTCAGTCAAATTTTGTTCTACAAAAATTTAAAAAAGTAAATTGTTCAGTAAGAAAAAACCTACAAATTCTTATTCTATCACTTTTTTATAACTTTGTTAGTTTTTGATATATTTTGAAAAAAGGCGATTTTATAAAAAATTGAAAGATTTTATTTAAAAGTAAATGCATTTTTTTTAAGTTAGGCTTCTAAAATCGTTCAAATTCCCAGAATCTACTGTTAATACATAAATAAAGTAAATTGCAGAATGAATACGTTTATTTTTTTTCCGTCAAGTCATTAATTTTAACACCGATTTTTTTTCTCAAAAATCAAGACAATCATTTTATTTTGATTGTAACATCATAAGTTTTCATGCTAACGGCTTCTATCACCACTCAATTTAAAGGTCTTTTCAAGAACTTTAATAGGTGTTATATAAGTTATCCTCGAAAAACCTTTAATTTTTCCGCTACGGGACGTTGAACATTTCGATTATCTATCTAGCTATCTTCGAAATTGACTTCAACTAGGTGCAAATAACTCAAAAAGTAGTAACTATGCAGAAAATTTTTATAGAACATTTTTTGTTTAGAATTCGCCCCTCTATCGAATCGTGAGGTTATTTTTAATAAAAAAAGTTCCACCCTCCAGAAGGGGTGGCATCCACCGCTAGGGTAAAAGCACACATCGGCACTATATAACTTTTGTTTCTTGAGCTATTCCCTAGCTACAGTTCAAATTTCACGTCAATCCATTACATCCGAAAAAANTAAAAAATTGAAAGATTTTATTTAAAAGTAAATGCATTTTTTTTTAAGTCAGGCAGAATCTACTGTTAATACATAAATAAAGTAAATTGCAGAAGGAATACGTTTATTTTTTTTCCGTCAAGTCATTAATTTTAACACCGATTTTTTTTCTCAAAAATCAAGACAATCATTTTATTTTGATTGTAACTTCATAAGTTTTCATGCTAACGACTTCTATCACCACTCAATTTAAAGGTCTTTTCAAGAACTTTAATAGGTGTTATATAAGTTTTCCTAGAAAAACCTTTAATTTTTCCGCTACAGGACGTTGAACATTTCGATTATCTATCTAGCTATCTTCGAAATTGACTTCAACTTCTGGGAGTCATAATTCGGGTTCTGTACCATCTACAAAAAAAAGCAATCTCTTTGCTATTTAATTACTTTCATTTTGGCTTATGATCATTTTTTTAATAAAACTTGTATGCATTTTTTGGGCTAAAAACGAACATGTTTAGGTGCAAATAACTCAAAAAGTAGTAACTGTGCAGAAAATTTTTATAGAACATTTTTTGTTTAGAATTCGCCCCTCTATCGAATCGTGAGGTTATTTTTAATAAAAAAAATTTCCACCCTCCAGAAGGGGTGGCATCCACCCCTAGGGTAAAAGCACACATCGGCACTATATAACTTTTGTTTCTTGAGCTATTGCCTAGCTACAGTTCAAATTTCACGTCAATCCATTACATCCGAAAAAATTGGTAGCCAAAATGCTTCAATGGCTGGACTATTTTTTACGTATTTTTACGTAACCTCTTTATCAAAAGTTCTGCTAGAAAAAAATAATAAAAGATATTTTCTCTCAAAATATTTGCACAGAGTATTAAGTTTGTGAATTTTTATTGATGATACACATTTTTCAGGTTTATTTTAGATAATTATTAGAGCCGCGTGACCACCAAAGTTAGGCAACCAACATTACAAGACTGATACTTAAAGCTAAAAATCCCTAAATTTTAGTGTCACCAATATTAATGCTTCGTTAACAATGAACCATGTCCACTTGTTATTGGACACTATTCTATGCTTAGTGGTATATGTGTTTTACAAAATACAAAATTATCTATGTTAGCGGTATTTAAAATATTCCCCTAATCGTCACTACCACCCAACTTGGGCCTCCCAAATTAGTATCAGTCATCCATCGGCAAAGGGTATTCCTGCCAATGCCTTGCGACAGCAAATTCCGCAGGCCAGGGAGAGCAGAGCAGAGGAGAGGGAAGAGTACAGCGAAGTAGTATAATATCACGTATCATAGAGTGTAGTCGACGCACAATAAAGTGAAGATTGCTTTCTTAGTTTTTGTTTTCTTCGGGGTAGTTACCCCTAATTATTAACCACTTGTTTACATCTATTAAAATATATTGTTCATCATTTCTTCACACGTGCGGTGTTCTGAATCCGTCTCTGGTCATGTACGATTTACTCACGGACCTAGATAATTGTTATCAAAAAAATCTACGAGGCGCTTAAATATATGTACATACATTTTAAAAAGTTGCTCAACCACCCACCTATATTTACAACGCCGTGATTAGTGATCTCCCAGCAGGAGTGCAGCCTGAGCACGTTGAGGGAGTTGCTCTGTTTTGGCGAGAAGTATCCTAGGGCCGCGTCTGTGACGTGGTAGGCCTGTAGGGAGAATTCGTAAAGCGCGGGCAGCAGCTGGGCCACCGCTCCCACCGCCTCGTCGGCGACGTTTATGCAGTCGGTGAGCGTCAACGACACTATCCGGGGGTTCAGACATGCCCACAGGCCCGCCTCTGTGATTTCGTTACAGCCCGCTAGCTCCAGCTCGTACAGCGCCTGGAAAAGTTAATAGAGAAAAAGTTAATTATCTGCACAATATGACACAGACAAAGTACTGTGGTATTGAATTATATTTTAATCAATTTTTCATCCAACCATTAACTCTCTAGGTGCTGGAAAACTCGACAATTCCTGTTTGGAGTAGCACAAAAAGGCTAGTTATAATAACACAGCCACACAAAAAAAGAAAATTTGTCTGTACTTTTCATGCGACATATGTTATCCGTAGTATCTTTGCCTCCTGAATCCGGTGTCAGATTTGAGCTATCACATCACAGGGATTTCCTAACCTCAAAAAACAGTTAAAAATAGCAAAAATTCCTGAAAAAGTGCTAGGAAAAATACAAACCTTTTTTTTTCAATATTCAAATGTTCATTTATATAGTTAAGACCCCGCCCAACGTGAATCCGCGGTTAATGGTTCTTTTTTCTAACCTCAAAAAAACGGGTCAATTAAGGGCAGATTTCACGAATTTTCAAACAATCACAGATTCGCTCCATATTTGGTATACGAGGGTCTTCGGGGTCGCTAACTATGGATCCGAGGTCAATTTTGCAAAATTCAAGATGGCGGATCCAAAATGGCCGACCAAATTTTCAAATAATAACAGAATCGCAACAAATTTGGTATACGGGGGTTTTCGGGGTCGCTGATTACGTATTCGAGGTCAGAATTGCGAAATTCATTTTTCAATATTTTTCTTTATAACCTGAGTATTCAATCATGTATTAATCTACTTTTTTTCGGCTAGGATCTTGTTCTTTTTTCTGTAAAAAAGATCTAAGTTGAATCTTGTAAATCTGATCTCAGACTCGTGATCAGTGACCTCGAAAACTCCCGTATACCAAATTTGGCGTAAATGTGTTATTTTTTGAAAATTTGGTCGGCCGCCATCTTGAATTTTGCTAAATTGGCCTCGGATTCGTTATCAGCGACCACGAAAACCCCCTTTTGGCGCTAATTTGTAATTTTTTGAAAATTCGTGATATCTTACCTTAATTGACCCGTTTTTTGAGATTAGAAAAAGAACCATCAATTCTGACCGCTAATTCACGTTCAGCGGGGTGTTAATTATATAAATGAACATTTCAATATAGAACAAAATTTTTCTCTATTTTTCCTAGCACTTTTTTGTGAATTTTTGCTATTTTTGACCTGTTTTTTGAGGTTAGGAAATTACTTTTATGTGATAGCTCAATTTTGACACCGGATTCGTGATCTGGAGGCAAAAATACTACGGATAACATATGTCGCATGAAAAGTACAGACTACTTTTTTTTGTGTGGCTCTGTAATATAAGTAAATATCTTTTTTAACTGCAAATAAGTGACTTTTTAGACAGTAATAAGTGATTTTTTTGTCATAATTATGTACACTTAGTATCTACTATCAACTTTGTCTTTACAAGTGAAAAGCAAGATATCTATAATTGGGTAGTTTCACTTATTATATTTGTGTATGTATTTAATATAGGTATAGTATACAAGGTGTTTCAATTAAAACTTCCCACTTGGAATTCGGAATTTAAAAAAAAAACTTGAGATTATGTCGATTTTCTTTACAAGGGAGACACCTGATGGCGTATGTTTTGGTGTGTTGGAAGCGACCCCTTAAGCAGGGGCGTAATACCTTTAAACTTTAAATGGCACCCTACGTTGAGTGAAACCTCATTCTAAAGCTTTTTAAATTCTGCTCACGACGACATACCTACGACTTTTTAAATTTTGGTTTGGATATGACAATAAAATCATCACTTAAACAATAAGAAAAATATCAATGAATGATCAAATGTTCAAATTGGTTTCCGCCCGCTTCCATAAAATCTTTGTTACACTTCCGAACGAATATTTCGAAGCATTTCGGGCGTTATCAGACGACATTCTTCAACAATTCGCCGACGAAGCTCCTCAAGTGAGTTCGGTCGAGATGAATAAATTTTCGACTTTAAGTGACTCCATAGAAAAAAGTCTAAATCACACATCCTCTTCTGCCAAAGCGTTGTCATTTTCCAATACTTCCACAATCATCGGGTAGATACGTATACTCGTTTCCAGTAGATTCAGAAATATGTTTAATGTTTACATCTAGATTTCCCCGTAGGAATAATGGCCCTATGAGATAATCTTCCAGTACGGCCGCCCAAACATTCAGTTTCCTCGATTGCTGGGTATGAGTTTCTTGAAAAATGCGTGGATTTTCATCGCTCCAATAGCGGCAGTTATGGCGGTTGACTCGACCATCCAGTTGAAATGTACATTCATCGGAAAAATAGATTGAGTACAAAAAATTTTGATTCCTTCGAGCACGATTACTCATTTCTTCACAAAACTGCAAGTGGCGATCAATCTTCATTAATTTAACGAAAAAGAAAGATCAAAATAAATTTTTTCATCGAAAAATTGTCGAAGAATGTCGTCAGATAACGCCCGAAATGCTGCGAAATGTTCGTTCGGAAGTGGGGCAAAGATTTTATTATTCTATGGAAACGGAGGGAAACCAATTTGAACATTTAATAAAATAACATTCTTTCATTCATTGATATTTTGTCTTATTCTTTAAGTGATGATTTTATTGTCATATCCAAACGAAAATTTAAAAAGTCGTATGTCGTCGTGAGCAGAATTGAAAAAGTTTTAAAATGAGGTGTCACTCAAAATAGGGTTCCATTTAAAGTTTAAGGGTATTTTACCCCCTGCCTAAGGGGTAGCTTCCAAGACGCCAAAACTTATGGCACCATGTGTCCCTCTTGAAGAGAAAATCGAAGTGTCTCAGGTTTTTTTATTCTTTTTTTAACTACGATATTTTCCAGTTGGGAAGTTTTAATAAGAACACCCTGTATATTAATCCTCTAATCTTTTACGTAACAATTTTATCATTCACATAATGTGTATGCAACACTCAGACAAAGCGTTGTTGGTTTTGGCCTTCCAGCCGAACATATTGCTATACGGTGAGTGATGTAGTGTGGCGGAAATTCCCATAACCTCAGTGCGTCGTCGGTCACTGCAATTAAATCTTTCAAAAAGCACAATGCAGCGGATTTTAACAAAATATCTGCAACTGCATCCATTCAAAATTTAGCTATCAATTTGTCACAAAATGGCCGTGCAGCTCGCACGTCTGCGTATCAGCTATGATTACTATGCGCTAAAAAAGACATCAACCTAACTACTGTTATAAAATTGTTACTTCGATCCTGATGGCCATAGATAAATTATGTTCAGCCGTTAATAGCTGGTCCTCAACTAGCCAATTACCTAGTGCAATAAGTTATCTAGTTACCTTTAGTGGAAGAAATGTTAAAAAATATACCTATTCACCATAAGAAAGTGCCCTCTTGATTTAATATCATCATCATCGATCAAGTAAAATCATATTTAAGCTTGGCATATGATATTGTACTTGATATTAATAAAGAAAAATTGTTATAAACAGGGGCGGATTCAGGGATCGACATTGGGAGGGGAGGGGGGAATTTTGATGTCTAGACAAAAATAAACTGAGAGACGTTTTTAAGTAGAAAATATTTAATCTTCATTAATTAATCTTAATTCTTAATCTTCATTCTGTTTGATCTTTGATTTAGTCGCTTCAATAAGCAATTCTAGACGGTTTTATAATATGGTAAGGTATGGAGTTCTTGGGGTTTATTTTTATGGTTGGTTCTTTGTTGTTTTATTTGTTTTCGGACCATTTGGATCCCCACTTGAATCCGCGCCTGGTTTTAATATAGCAAAACTTTCTTATACAATTATGACGAAATATTAAACAGAAAAAATAACTGAGATTGTAAGTCCATTAAAGTTACATATTCCAAAAAAGTGTTTTATGAGTAGAATCTTTCCCTAATTTTTTAACTCATACCTAATTTCTAAACACCCTGTATAAATTATGATTAATCATTAATCTCTCCACTGTGTTTAATATTGTTACATAGGAGTTTTTATAGATTTCTGAAAATGAATAAAAAAAAGTTACATATTTTGTAGTGATATGCCTATGATATACCACATACCACTCTAGCACAGGAGATAAAACAACCAGAATTATAAGTTGGCGTGGTGGGGGTATTCGCGCAGATCGGTGCACGCACCCCCCACTTTTGGTATGGGAACAAAGTGGCGTAGTTACAAAAGCATTTTAGCCATTTTATGAACCTGTTTGTCGTTTGTTATCCCGCGCGTTGAGCATTGGCGTCGTTTTACGTGATTTATTGTGTTGTGTAAATAAATGATTGTTCGAGTGTATTATTCTATAAGGTACTGTAAAATTAAGGACAAATTAAGTATTAGAAAATAAAAGACAATATAAAAACTATGAATTGTGGTGTTGAAAGGAAATATGGCGTTTCCTGATTTTGATTTACTTTTTTAAATGTTAGTTTACAACAATCTAAAACTCAAAATAAATTTAGTTTTTTTTTAATTAATAATATGTTTTACAATTTAACTGTTTAATGTGATTCGTAAGAAATTAAAATTATAGTCTTAAATGCAAATACTGTTGGTAGCTAAATGTCTTCAACCCATTCAATGGTAAAGTCCTCTTTCAATTTAATATTTTGTTATGCCGCTTTATGTGAGCAAAAAAAATGCAACTTAATTTTTCTCGAAAATGGTAAGTACATGCTACCGAATTTCGACAAATATACCTTTTTTTGTAGTATGCTTTAGAGTTTACAGAACCGTTTAAAAATGTAATAAATTTTGATTTTTAACATATTTTTTTTATTGTACCCCTTTTCAAAAAGAAACCGTTTGCACATTATTCTTAACGCACAGTTGATGTTTACTCGTGTACAAATTTTTACATTTTTATCTTTAGCCTATTTAAAGATAATTAACCAAAAACCATTTGGAAAGTAACAACTTCAACACACTGTATCTCGAAAACAGGGCGTGTAAGAAAAAAACGTTACATGAACTACCCCCATTATTTTACCAAGAGGAACTTACACACAAGTTTTTTTGAAACATGAACGGGACACCCTGTATAT